CCGCGCTCGCCGCCGCCGCCGCCGGGCCGGGCGGGTTCTGCGCGGCCGCCGGCGCGCTCTGGATCTACCCCACCAACTACCCGGTGCGCGGCTACCAGCTGCGCATGGCGGGCGCGGCGCTGCTGGCCAACACGCTCGTGTGCCTGCCCACGGGGCTGGGCAAGACCTTCGTGGCCGCCGTGGTCATGTACAACTTCTACCGCTGGTTCCCCTCGGGCAAGGTGCTCTTCCTGGCGCCCACCAAGCCGCTCGTGGCGCAGCAGATGGAGGCCTGCGCCCGCCTCATGGGCATCCCGCCGCGCCACATGGCCGAGATGACGGGTACGGGCCGCCRCGGGCTCCCTGCTGGGTTCTGCCTGGTGTCCTCGGGCCTTGGCGGGCGCCGGGGCTGCCGCGCGCTGCTGCCCGCAGCAGTGGCACCAACAGCTGCCCCGTAGCCTCTGCCTGAGTGCGAGCCCTAGCTGGAGGGGAGCTGTGCCCGGCGCCGTGCGAGGGCTGCACAGCCGCACGTCCTCCTCTGCCTAGCTCTGCAGTTACTATTCTGTTGTAAAACAGAGCTTTCTCTTCATTGCAATCACTTATTTTTTTCCCTCCAAAAAATGGAAATGCATCAATGTGCTATTAAAATAGTCTCATTTGCAAACACTGGTTAGCCAGCCCTAGCCAGCTCCTTCCTAGCTCCTTTTCTTTACCTGCTTTGCCCCTCGTTGAGCACGTTGCTCACGTTGTCTGTTGTGTTTGCAGGGGGAACCCAGGTCTTCAGCCGGAGGGAGCTCTGGGCTGCCAAGAGAGTCTTCTTCCTCACGCCGCAGATCATGGTGAACGATCTCTCCCGGGGAACCTGTCCAGCCGTGGACATCAAGTGTTTGGTCATCGATGAAGCCCACAAAGCCCTAGGGAATCACGCCTACTGCCAGGTGACAGCGCGGGTGGACGCCGGCTGTGGAGCGGCCCGGGTTCTCCTGGGAGCACGGCCRTGTCCTTGCTGTAGGGATGTTGTGTTGTGGCTTCTAGGCTTTGGAGTGCCACTTCTTCATCTTAAGTGAAATGAAGTCAAAATCTCCCTGTAAAGCAAGGCTTTGTGTTGWTTAGGACATAGTGTGTTACAGTGTCTTGGCTTGGTCTCCTCCTACCTGTCTGTGTGTCGAGAAGTTCTGTGTATTAAAAGAGATTGATGCAGTTTATACATGGTTGCCTACTAGATCTTTAAATGCCAATGTGTTATTTAGTGCTTGTCTAACTTCGCTTGCCAGGAAGGAAGATGATAGCTTGTTAAATTAAAGCAGTACATGCTGGCTCGCCATTGTCATAGTTTTTTCCTATCTTCTCAGTTTTCAGAACATTTAATAATTTCTTTTTCAAAGCCTTTTTTTTYCCATAATGCTCTAAAACCATTTCTGATATTGCTAAACATTTTTTTTTTTTGCTATTACTCTAATCACTGTGTGAYATAGAGCCAAGATTTGTCTTCATTGGCATTTAAGTCGCTTTAGTTACAGAGGGAAAAATCTTTAATCAGCTCTTGCCAGTCCCTGTAGCTGCGATATTAGGAGGCTTTCTTCTTGCGTTTTCTATAAGCGTAAATGGACTTCCTCTATCTGCTCTAGCCCTTGCTTGTTTTCCCATTGCTTTTATGTTTGCTGCTATTTGCAGTTGTTTTGTTGTTCTCCTCCCGCTCTGCGCAGCGCGAGGCGGTTGGTAGAGGCAGAAGTGTCTGTTCCCTGACAGCACTGGCAGAGCTGAGCTATGCAGGAGAGTGAAGTAGGGGACAGTTTGGTTATTGCTTGAGTGTTYAGCAGCTAACAGGACTGTCACGTTTTTGCTCTTGTGGAGGATTGTAGGATGAGAACTATGGACTATTCAAATCTCTTCCTAATGGCTGCTGAAGAACTTTAGCGAGCAAGACTTGGTGAATGCTGATCTTTTTTTTTCTTTCTCCACAGCAATTTTTAACTGATCTGGATTCTGATTAGTTGGAACTAGACATCTCCAATTACTTTTTTTTTTTTTTTTTTTTAAGAGCAGTTCTTTGAATTTCTTTTTGGCGGCTTATCTGGATTAACATGCTGTTAATCTTTTGGTTAAATCAAATGAAAAATCATTTCATATAACTTATCAAATTTGCTCTGTTGAGTGGAATTGGGCTAACATAATCCAGATGAAATGTTCTTGGATAAAAATATTATCAGCTCAGGAATTTCTGGTTTTCCTTTAAATTTAAATCTACTTTTAGAATACTTTGTTGAGGCTTTAGCACTCAGTTGTTATTTTCACCAGTATAGCTTGTATCTGCAAATAATCTCCTGTAAGGATCTTAATATGAAACTTTCTCCTCTTAGGTCGTGAAGGAACTAAGCAAATACACAAATCAGTTTCGGATCTTGGCCCTGAGTGCCACRCCAGGCAGTGACACGAAGGTAGGTCCAGCTTGCGTGGTTGGAGGAATGGCTTTAACAGAAGCCGCTAATAAAAAATCGGAATGCCATGGGGGATGCTGGAGTCTGCCAGAGAGAGTTCCAAATAAAAGCTAATTGCTGAGTGCTTCTTGTTCTAAAGTTTATTACTTCTTTTTTTCCTGTCCTCTCTTACAGGGTTTAAGATTACGTAGTGAAATGCTTAATGTACCTTTTGCTGTTTAAGAGGGCATGCCTACATGAAGCAAAAAGCATTTATTCTCGCTGCTAAATGGCTTTCTTCTTGAGTATGGTTTATTGGTTAAATACCAGCGTGGTTGAAGCTCGCAGTCTAAGGCRGCTGGACATCCAAATACACAGGCAAAGCTATGGAGCTGGTTTTTATATGTAGCCTTTCAAATGTTAATGCTTGAGGAAAATAAGTGCTGTGGGAATTGTTTACTGCTCAAAACTTTAATATTAAAGAGGAGCTAAACAGGGAAAACTGAAAAGTTTAGTTTTAGTTTTTCTTGGTCTTAAACAGCAAGATCTGAACTGCATATTCCTGTGGGGTGGTGTATGGCAGTGGCAGGAGCTCTGTCATCGTGCACGTAGAGGGTATTTAGGCTGCTGAGTGCCAGCTTGACGTGTCCTGCACCTACAGGAGTTCTCAGCTGCTGCGGTGCCACTAGTGCAGCTGCCACCCAGTTTCTGGTTAACATCTCCTGAGACCTGCCAGCACACCCAGGCCTGAAGAGGCTTGTATGGCAACCACATGAAGTTTCCATTCACAAATTGGTCGTATAGGTTATTTACCTGCTACTTAAGGTCCTTAATTGTAGAGTCTTTCATTTTTTATCCATCTTTGTAGACAGTGAGTACCTTTTCCTTACTGTAACATTCAAGGCCTATTAAAATATGGAAATAGTTACTTCCATGTTATTGGCCTCCATTRCTGGAGCGATAACAATCAAATAAGATCTTTTCTTCTGACTTCTCCAACAGGCTGTGCAGCAAGTTATTTCCAACTTGCTCATTGCGAAGATAGAGCTGTGCACTGAGGACTCCCCAGAGATTCAGCCTTATTCTCATGAGCGGCGTGTTGAAAAAGTTGTTGTTCCACTCGGCGAAGAACTGGTAGGAATTCAGAACGCTTACATCCGGGTGAGTTGTTGGATTTTTTTATTGCTTAATGCTTAAAGAAATAATCTCCCTTCCTATTTAACGTCTCTAGTCTGGTAGTAACTTTAAAGGTTAAAGGCTTTCCCATGCAATTTGCATTGTCTTTCAACAAAAAGCAAAGAAAAAAAGCATGGTTCAGCTATGACAGCAACTGCTTCATTTTCTGCTGCTAAGTATTATCTTGCAAGAAGTTAAGGCACTGATGGGAAGTTTACTATCAAATTAATTTTCTTACCTTCTTTCAGGACTCCTTTCAAAATAGTATTTGAGACTTAAACTGAGAAACTTACTTTAAACTTACTTTGACTGGAATTTAGTAGTATTAAGAGGTTGGGAGTTGCTGTGCTTTTATCCATGTTATTGTCAACCTTACATAAATTGTATATTGATTTTTTTTTCTTGTTAGAAATAATCATTAGAACTTTAATTTCCTTGTAAGTGTACACTTTTTTTTTAGAGTATTTTTATTTTAATCTGTAGCTACTGTTCAAGTATAGGGCGGATTAGCAGGTACCAGAGTGTTCACCAGTGGAAGGCTAATGGTGTGTCTTTGTGGTGGGGTGATAGTGCACACACAGTACTATGTAAGCATCACTCCATAAAGTTCAAAATGAAGAGTTATTTTTTGGTAAGAATCATAAGAAGTTAGGAATAAGTTTAGCATGGGAGTATTATCCCTAAAGTATATCTGGGTTTAAAATATATTTTTTTCCTGTAATTACTATGAAGCCTGCTAGAATGCAAATCTGCACTTTCGTTTTCTATATTTGGAGCTGGGTTTTCAGAGGAACTGTTTTCAAACAAGTAACTTTACATGCGTAGGCTAGAGAAGTCTGTTTTTCTAGATTTTAGATGTTTCTAGATGCAAAACTAGTGTTACGTCCCTCTAGCTGCATCAATGCCTCTACTGGCATGATTTCGAGGATATAGTTTGAGGTTTTCTGCTTTTACATTAAAGCCGGGGCTAGCATGTAGGCTTGACTAGCCGTGGAGYGCAGACAAACCTGTGTTCACTTCCGCTGTGGCCTCAGTGGTTTTGATTTCCTCTCTTTGATCTGACATTTGCATTTGACTGCTACCTTAACTGGAATGAGACCTCTCCTGTGCGTGGTAATAACATAGAGGCCTGTGCAGGAGGGCCTTACTCGGGCTTTTCCAGCACCCTGCGGGCAGACTGTGTGGGCAAACCTGAAGATCTGAGCACTTTCCAAGCTCTTCCCGCGGGGCAGAGCTCTGCTACCCGCCACGCTGCTGCAGGCACCGCTTCTCTGCGGTGCTGCTCTCGAGCCGCTCTTAGCTCGTGGTGCTAAAGAAGCACGTGGCGGTTGAAAGTAAAATCCAGGCGTACTCACTGCACAATAAAATCGTCAGCTTTTATTTTAACAAATAGGAACAGTAAATGGGACAACGTTTCAGTGAAAATGGAGGGCAGTGTAAAACAGCATAATGCAGCAACGCCGGAAAAATTATAGTGATGTTTGTATATGTAGAGTAAGCAAGGCCCTGAGCATCACAATAATTGGAATAAACTTCTTAGGCACTAATGCGCGTTTGAAAAATACACAGTATACAGGAAATTATCTACCAAGGCTACTTCACTTAATTTTCCAAGATATGTGTGAATGGTATTTTATTATCTCCTTTTAATATAGTGCAAATCAAGTACTTCAAATTATAAAGGAAAATCCTTTGACTAATGCTTACAAAGAGCAATAGATAGATAATAGAAATACCTATTCAGATAACAGGATTCAGGTAAGCAGGCTTGAAAAAGTTTTCAAGCTCTCTAAAATGGTATTTTTGAATAATAATAATAATAATATTTCCATGACATTCATTGGTATAACTATTGAGAATGCTCTGTGTCTTGATGGAAAAAACACGCAGTTTGTGGTGCCCTTCTTTGCAAGGGCCGTTTGTAGAAGCTGCTAGTGCTCCTTAGCCATAAAGTGTATCTTCAAACCTGATGAGCTGGTTGTCACCCAGCAGCATAAGCAGTCTAGCATACCTCAAAATAAATACTATGCTGGATTCACAGTTTTACATAAAACAGCATGGAACACGTTGCTGTGGTTAGGATATCAGCACATTCAAATAAACTGCTCATCTTTATATCTTAGTAACAAGAATATTCCTATACCATACCCACAAGCAGCTGAGTCACAGAAATATTCAGGTGAAGGTTGCCTATGGAAAGAGATGTACGATATAGCAAACACCTTTTTTGAATAGTCTCCTATGTAATATATATACAAATTGATGTTTTATGGTGAGATTTGTTTCTTATAGCATTAGACATTTCTTGTACAAAAGCATACGTATTATATCTATAATTGTCAAAAACAATCAATTTGCAAAAACTTCTTTAATTTGCCATAGAATTTTGTCAAAGGTCAAAATGTATGTTTGATTTACCTTTATATAAAAATATTTTCTTTGGACCCAAAGAAAACCTATTATTTAATGCATCCCTGGATCTCCAGTTTAACTCAATTAAAAGCTCTTATTTCCCATTATATTCTTAGCTTTTACTTTAATACTGGCTGGTGTTACTAATAAAATGAAGAAACGTTAAAAATAAATAAAATGCAAAGCTGAAGTAACTACTCTAGCTGATCTCCAATTCAGGGGCAATCAGACGGGAAACCRCAGAATGGTGCAAAGGACGCTGAGTACTTCTTCCTGGCTGCAGTCCTAGGTCTTTAACAAATCGGGAGGAACAGCAGGGGCAGGATGAGTGTCTTCCCATCTTGTTGTGTTGTGTAAGAGACACCTTGACATGCATTTACACTGTCACATCATCAAAAAAGTGGCTTCTAGTTGTGGCTACAGCTGACACGAGCASTGGTGTTGCCACCCAGCAAAGCAGAGTAGCCTCCTGGCAAAGCAGAGTGGGCAGCTTGGAGGGCAAGAAAAGGGGCAACAGACAACAACTGTCCGGGGAGCTCTCCCCTTCCCCCACAGTGAGATCAGTTATAAAATCTGGTTCATTTTTGGCAAGGCAAGTATTTTTTGAACTAGTGCAGGATGTCGGAAGAGCTGGAAAAATGAGAATTTCAGAAGGAGTAAGTGAGGATTCTTTTTTTTTTTTTTTTTACCTCAAACCTTGGAGGGCAGGAACCACTAGAGGGCACCTTGATCGTGCTTGAGGGTCATCGCCACCTTCCAGCCTGTTGTTTTTCTGGTCGAGCTTCACAGTAAGAGGTTTTAGTTTGCGGAATAAGGTGGGCTTTGTGCAGAAAGCCTTGTGGAGCTAGGAGGCTTAGAGGTCCTGATCTGTACTTTATTCCAGAAGTACTATATAAACCCCTTTTGTTTGGCAATTAATAGGACTGGGCACTAGTAGACACTGGGTTTGGTTATCGTGTGTTTACTTGTTTTGTTTTTGTGCTTTGTTTAAACCAAGGAACACAAAAGCTCTGAAGCTGAAATCTTGCAACTGATAAATAATGCTGGTGGTAAAGTTTTTGAAACTTTATGAACTAACTTAATTGTATTAAATAATGTGATTAAATATATTTTATGTATATATATGTATAACTTGAATGGTGCTTTCACATTTTTGATGCATCTAGAATTATGAGTTTTTCTTTGAGTACAACATGCCATGCTTGAAGATTTACCATATGTCACATGGACGAAGGGTAAAGGAAGCAAGTTTCAACACTGAAAATTAGGTTCTCGCAGTGAGWGTGGTCAAATATTGGAATGTGGCCTGGAGGGCTGTGGGAATGGCCCTCCTGGAGACTCAGCACATGGACAGGATAGGCGCCCATGCGCTCCCCTGCCCTTCAGCTGGGCCTTTCTGCCGCAGAACCGTGGGCCCCGTGGCAGCGGGAGGTTGAGCATGAGCAGTAGCTGACAGATGACTTTGGTTGCTGCAGATTGACATGCACCAAAGCTGTATTGCAAGGCCATAGTACTCAAAGCTGAGCATGGCCCTTCATTTGTGGACACCACGTACAGTCATGAGGTTGCTGTGAGTGGGTTATTAGGCTATACCTAATCAAAAGGTGTATCAAAAGTTTAACGAGCCTATCAAAAGTTTAATGAGCGTTAGGACTGTTTTGACTTCCTGGTCTCTTCTCATGGTTAAAAAAGATACTTTTGTTAAATATTTTTGAGGTAAGCATTAAGAATTGGTGCTCTATGGGTGATAATATCAAAACCAGTCAGCACTGGTCTGGTTTTGCTCCTTGGTTTAATCACAGTGCCCTAAATCTGGCCATTTTCTTCCAAAATGAAGGCCTGAAAGTTCTTTTTCTGAAGCATAGTCTGCACAGGGGGTGGTCTTAATGCGACTCCCATGTAAAGCCCCTACATTGTCCTTTTTGCAGCTGCTGCAGCGCTGCCTGCTGCTGGACACAGCTCCAAGATCTCTCACAGGACAGTCCCAAGCCACAAACAGTTTTGGGATGCTAATAAGTGGGTAGGGGGAGAGGTCTCTATCTCCCTTATCTTATTGAAGATTAGTCCACCTTATTCTTTTAAGATGTTAAAAATCTGCGTAGCAATTATTTTCAAAACGTAAAATTTGACATAGGAAATGGTGTGCATTTCAGGTGGCACTTCTATACACTTATTAACTTGTACTGACTGTCTTGCTAAAAGCCACTTTTTTTTTGAGTGTTTGTACTCTAGTCTCACACGATTCACTTGCAATATTCTGTCATGAAGTTAGAACCAAATGTTGTACTTGAAAGGCAGCAGGAAAGGGAGACTATGGTCTTTGGAGGAACCATATTTCATTAATCCGATTAGCAGCAGCTGGGTTTGTATATCCTGCAATGATGAATGTATCCTGCAAGCAGAGCTCGGGACTCTCCAGAATTTCTGCCAGCAGGTTTATTTCCCTCATTATGGAGTCTTCATTGGTGATTCCTCTGAAGCTCCTGTAACAACCAACTTCATATCAATTCTAGTTAAAATCCACATTTCTTCCAGGGCCCAGAAGTTCCTCCTCTCTGAAGTTATTTAGTCATAACTCACAAATGATACTACCTCACGGATTTATCTTGGATAGCACTGAAGATGCTGAGTTAATAAGAAAATGTCTTGTCAGGTACTCTGTTCACAGCCCCATGTAATACTCTGTTTTGAGATGCTGTTGCATCTCGCGTTTGCAGAAGCATTATTTCCTCAAGTGAACTGGTGACTGTTATTTCCTGAATGTCCCAGTTTTGTAAGGCAATCAGCTTTTAGCAGTTACTGAAAATCCTATTACTGGCAGCTTTCAGGATTTGTAACATGTCCAGGTGGAAAGCTGCATTTTTTTTTATAGTTGCTACTAGAACAAAACCCAGATGCTCCTTACCTGCTGTACACGATAGTAGAAGGCCACTCTTCRATGACGATGTCGTCGTCGAAGGGATGAGGCGGCTCCTCCTGCAGCGCGGGGGGCAGGTAATACGCCACCGTCACCGCCCGCGCCATCTCCGACTGGGACTCGTTCGTGTGGACTATGGTCACGATGGGAATTGTAATCCCCAGGTACAGGCCTGAGGAGACACGTGGGACTGTTAGGCAATGCCACAGGAGACTTGCGCCAGCTTCTGAGCAAATGGGGAGTAATGGGCAGGCTTTCATTGCTGCGTGGTGTTCGCCAGGTTGGTGCAGAAAAGGCCTTTGTGTGTTCCAAGGTGGAAGCAGTGCTTTACTATGTCCTGTAGTGTGCATGGTGTTAAATATATATACCAAAGCTAAGTGCGCACATGTGCATATCGCTGTGTGCACCTCTGTCTGAAATGCAGTATTTGGGGAGCTCCTCCACGTGCAGGGCAGTTTCCCTGGCTCGCCGAYTCTGCGCTCCCGAGGGCTGTGCTCCTGAACTGCAGCTATCTCGCTCAGCTAGTTGAGTCACTCTGCTAGACAAGGGGGCTGTCTGGCCTCGCTGGGCAGCTGTGTGAAACGCTGCTACACGTGTGCAGTGCTGCAGTAAAGGGTTATGATTTTGACTGGACAAATTGTAGTGGGGATTTGAAGTGAGAACTTTGCCTCTGTACACAGAGCAGAAACGGAGCTGCGCTGTTCAGGGGTCAAAATGATTTTTAAGCTAACAGAATGGGGAGAGGGAAAAATACCTGAGGGAGGAAAACAGTTGAGATATTCTAGCTTGAAGAAAACATGAAGGTTCACTTGATAACACATAAATATCTCTACAGAACAAGGTCCTGCAAAATGTTGCAGTACCCCTTAATCCCCTGCAAAATGTCAGAAACAAGAACCGATTTAAAACAGGTGACTTTAGCTTGGAAGCCAGTTACATGTTTTTGATGCAGGCACAACCAACAATATGGTGGATATTCTTTAAGTATTTCACTTAAATGGATTGTCCTTTTAGAAAACGTGCTAATCACAGAAGTTTTTGGAGTCCATTCAAACATGCACAARTGGAGTGTTATGAGCTAGAAATCAGGGAGGCAAGTGGTACAATCTCTTCTAGCATTAAGCTCTGAACCAGTGCTTAGATCAGGCTACTTAAATGCTATTGTAAAGATTAAATTGCTAAACTTTTACAGGAAAAAAAGACCATTGCTTATTGCTCACATTGCTTGTATTGTTTACCAAAGTAGCCTGTTTTTGTTCCCAAGCACTTGCTGTGGTCAGAAAGCCTTTGGAAATCAGTTCAGTTCCGATCACTTGTTCTTCTAATGCATATGCAGAAAGRGACTGACTTTGTTTTAAATTCAAGTGCAAAGGTTTTTGCAGGAAATGGTTAATGTGGGGAGGGTGGTATTTTTGGAAAAAGTTAATAAAAATATCGTTGTAATTAAGAGCAGCTGGTGAATAGATAAGATCRCATTTTAATTACAGTGTAGAATCATGGTAGCCAGTTACCTGAGGAGTTCTGCTCACAAATGTACCTCATCAGCTTCATGAATCCCAGACATATGCTCTGCTCGTACTGTTTTTCTTTCATTTTTATACAAGCCCACTTGGCTTTCCCATACTGACGTTTTTCATAAAGCAGGTCTCCAAGCTGTAAGCACAGGTAGATAATTTTATATTTTAAGATAATCACTTTAAAAAACAACTTCATACCGGATTTCAGTGCTTTGCTCATAGCATACAGAAATCAGCTTGTCTGAATGCAGAGGATGGCAAGCAAGAGGAAAGGTTTTAAGCTTGTATCAGCTATAAGTTACGTGCCTTGTTTACTACTTAGTTCACAGTATTAGYGAGTTTTACAAACACTTTATTTCAAGGTCCAAATTGGTGTGTAATATGTAGATATACAAAAACAATGCAAAATTTATGTGCATGCATCCTACTTGACTAGAGAACAACTGCATCTTTTTTCAGTTGTCARATCTGGAATTTGTTAGTTCTCCTTGTATAAATCAAGAAAGGMTATGCTGCCAACCTTAGTCAAAAATCTTATTCAGCAGACTCTGTGTGTGGTTTTCTTTAGAAAAATACTGAACTGTTGGCTTTTACTGGTGCAGTATTAAATAATTATTTGAAAATAACACTGCAAAACCTCATTTTTTTACCATTTATGTTACTACTGAGAAAATACTTCCAAGCRGTTTCTTCATTATTCTCCATCTTGTTATAGCAAAATTGAGTTGAGTCCCAAACTTTTGTATAAAAAGATGCAACTGAAATAGAGGTACTGACAAAATTGCATTATGTGGATTACTTGGTGTGACAGGAGACCTTCCTACCTGGTTAGTAAAGATTTTCTGGGTTTGTCCCTTACATAAGGTTGAATGCTTGGCAGCACACTCTGAGCTACAAACAGTTTGTAGGACATGAATTCCAGGTTTGTATGGGAGGATATGATGCCTTTGAAAAGTGCACTTCGTTTAATGATGAGCAACGAAACAAATGGGTAACTTTGGTTTTAAATTGAGGTGTTAATCTCTTCTGTTTATTCTTTACTGAATATTAATTAACRTAACTCCGTAATGAAACAACTGTATTGATTTTAGTGATGAAAAGGAGTATTATGTGGAATGTTGAAATGTGAGTTTAATTTGTTAAATTAGAAAATTATCAGAAATACTGTAATTGCTGCCCAACTTCTGTCTTTCCTGCCACTTCTGCCTATCCAGCTGTGAGCCTAAAGATCACAACTGGATAAAAGTAATTTCATAACAGAGGGTGCTTTGAGAGCTGGGTGTGGGTGCTGGCAGTGCCGCAAGGTGCCGGGGAGCGGAGCCGATACCTTCTCTTTGCGCTGGATCACYGTGAAGGGGATGCTCTGTCTCTCCTGGGGGCTGTTGTTCCTCGTCAGCTGCTGAATGGGCTCGGCCATGTCTGCAATGAAATCACACATGTTCAGYGCAAGTGAAACAGGCAGTAAGAATGAAATGTGTTTCACTTTCTCAGTTACATCTTGGGGAATTTTGTGTTTAGAACAACTTTAGTTTGTTTTCACAATTAATAGGAATAGCTAAATGCTGTGCTTGCAATGTTGAATAGAGCAGGTTTTATCCTTTCCTCATGTTGCAGCTGCAGAAGCGTTTACTGAAGGCTTTGCTGCTGCCGGGCGTTCACCTCAAGGTGACAACTACCGCGTGCAGAATTTCGCTTCCAAGCTGGGGCGGATGTGAGATAGTTTGTTTATGTGCTGTGTCTCATTAGATATAAAGCACATTAGGCAAAAGATTTTATTTCAGTTTGGATGAGGTTGAAGACTCTAAGTTTTTGGCTTACATAATGATGAATATCAAGATTATAGCAAAATGGAGAAATAAATTACAAACACAGTAGTAGTGAGGAGTATTTATAAACTCTGATAAGGGCTTCAGCCTCTTCGCACAGTGTTTGAAACCTGTCGATTTGTCACACTGCTTCACGGTAGAGATCAAACGTGCCTGAAAAGGAGCGTGCACTTGAGTGAAATGAGATCCCTKCTCTCAGGCACTGCGAGTGCCTTGCCGCCTTAAGTGGGAGAACGGCGGCATGGTGTGGGGAAGGGAACGTTACCCACGGCTCGGAGAGGAGAGTTGAGATGCGGAAGAGTTCATTTAGCCTAGTGAATCTGTGCATGAGCTGGGAATGAGGCTCCCAGCACCTGGCATCCAGTGCAGGGCTTTGAGCTCTAAGGCTGTTTGGAGTAGTAAGGGTTTATTAATAGAGGGGAGAGTGCTGTACTGTACTTTTAAGTATTTGTTAATAGAATAAATTCATGAAGTAAATTTAAAAAGTAATAAGTGATATTTAAGGTTGATTTCCTTAGAGACTGAGTAAAAATAGAAATAAATTAGGTGTCCAACACTGAATTTTCAGCAGAGTACTAAGAAGTTAGGAAATGTTAATACTCTAGACATTTTAACTCTCTTTTATTGATAAATATGGTCATGTCTTTTCCATGCTAAGATAGAGAATACGGGGCTGTGATTAACAAGTGTCTGTCAGGAGTTTTATCTTTCAGTTCATGGGTCTATGCCTGCCTCAGTGCATGTCAAAGCCCATCTTTGACTACAAAATTAGTTTTCTTACAAGCTTATTTTAAATTTTATTTCCGTATTGAGTGCTTGCTCCGTTAGCCCTCACCGAATGTTACAAGGAGCATCATGCAGTGGTAGGATTACCTCCCAGCTGGTACCTCCCTAGGGTACCTCCCAGCCTTGGGAGCAGTCGAACTTCAAGGTATTTAACTTTTCATTGCCGGCTCGTTCTGAGAGCCCAGCTGTACGTGGTTCCGGGCAGCTCCAAGCTGAGCTCCAGCTGTTGGGGACAGTTTACAACTAGAGTGCATGTGTTAAACCGGACACCTGGCCGCAGGAGGAGGCAGCATCGCTCCTAACGGGAGCAGAGTGCCCGGAACGTGCGGGCACGCTGCTGGGGCGAAGGGGGCAGCGCAGCCCAGCGTGGCCATTGGGAATCGCTGCCCTGTCGGAGGTGCTGCAACATCCAGGGCTGGCTGCTCTGGGCTGTTGATCCGTGAGCTTTTGAAGAGGATGGGATGTTCTCTTTCTGCTCACAGATCAAAGCAGGACAGCAGAGGCATCTCAATATTCATCGTTKCAGGCCCAGGAGCTTGTGTAGCCAAAGGCCTTGGGGAAGCTGCAGTGTGAGGCTGGCCAGGACTTTGAGAGAAAAGCAGTTTCCTTGTCAAGGAAGGGGGGGCTCAGGCCACACTCCCCATATGGGTGTTCCTCTTCAGTCTGAAGCGTCCAGAACAAGAAACACAGCTGCTTATAACGTGTGTTCTGCTTCGTTGCATCATTCAGTCCTAACGCTTCTCTCATACCTTTCTTAACTTGCACAATAGTTAGGGTTATACCACCCCAAACGAGTGAGTTGCTTGTCTTACCTGTCCTCTCAGTCAAAGTTTTTAACCTTTAAACACTGCTGTGAAAAAGCAAGAAATAAGCTGATAATGGGGTGCAGCGGTGTAGCTCATGGAGGCTGTGTTTAGCTGAACTTCTACGTTATAATTGCAGCTGGTTCTATGGATGGGGTTAGGAAAGCGGCACAGCGTGCCCGATCGGGGTTAGGAAAGCGGCACAGCGTGCCTGAGGGGCTGCAGGGGAAGGTGCGTGTACGAGGCTCGCGCAGGCAGCGAGCGTGGGCCGCGTGTGGACACATGCTGAGCCCGCTGCCTAGCCACCAAGGGAGGCCCCAAAAACTTCATCGTTCCTATCAGCCCTTAGAGTAAAGGCTAGCCGCTTGTGCAGCCGCCTCTGCGGGGCAGGTGTTTGGSCTGAGGGCAAACACGGGCTCTTCAGGATGCCAGCTTCCCTCTGGAGCCGGGACACCTGCTCCCAGAGCACCCTGCTCTGTGCCCTGAGCATCCCGGACACCTTTATGCTTCAGCGAGTGCCTGATTTTGGTTTCTGAGCTTGCATTGCAATTAGAGAAATTAACTGCTTCTACTGATAGTGAATAAAATGAAATTGATTTTTCATGCAAGAAAGATTCTACTGTTATATCACACCTTTGTTGAAGCTTGGCTTAGTCCTGGAGTCACTCTGTAGGGTTAAAATGCTCTTAACAGTGATAAATTGATAGGTCAGAAGATAATTGATCAGTTGGTGTCAAAATCTCATGAATCTTGTGGKTTTTTTTAGAAGGCTTATAATGTTCCTGTCATCCTCAGAAAGCATTTACAAAGGCAAAGCAAATCTTTTTGAAAGGTGCTGTCACCACAGCACAAGCGGCGCCAAAGCCTGTGGGAGTTGAACTGTTCCTAAGTATCATCTGGTACCTGGTTCCAGGAAATGGTCCAAGAAATAAAGGACAGTTGGACCTTATGCTTGGCAATGCAAACTAACCATTGCTGCCTGTAATAATCTCGCTGTGAAGAGGAAGGAGGAGCTCCTAGAAGCACCAGGGTCTGCACTCCTCCTTCTGTCCTCTCTGTACTAAGGACCCCAGTAGCTGCAAGTGTCCTGCTGCACTCGTTGGTTCTGGTCTGTGTTCTGAGGCCACTACAAGACTCGGAACTGTTTTATTTCCCACCTATAAACCTGTCTCTTCCTGCTGTTCTGATTATGGTCTCCGTTCTAGCCTCGCTCTTAGTTCAGGCTGCAGAAGTAGTAGAAGACTYGCCCAGGATAATCAGCAACACCGCTTGGGGTACATGATGTTTTTGATGAAGTATTTGCTTGACACTACAAAGACATAGTAACTAAAAAACATTACATAGTAACTGAAATGTGACCAAATATTACTTAGGCCAGGTGTGTGGAGAAAGCAAGTCAATTATACCTTAGAGAAGCGGAACTTTGGAATCTGTGTGTTAGTGTACTGGATTTTTTTGCAGGTGGAATCTCGTTCCCTTGTAGACATGAAGCTGCTCCTAGGGGCGAGCTGGGACCCTGTGCTGGGGGTGTCCTGCCCACCTCCCTTCTCTGCAGCTACTGAGCCTGGACTTTAGTGCACTGCTGTGCGACTGCTGGGCTGCCTTAACACCAGGGATTGTGTCTGCTGTGCTCAGACACCTGCAATGGGGGCTGCCAGGACCTGTCCAACTCTGTTCATGCACAATTTCTATGTGTTTTTTTAAGGATAATTGTTAATTAACTTCCTTTGTTAAAAACATTAGGAAGATGATGCTTCAGGTGTGACTTGAAAAGAAGGGGGAAAATAAGATTGTGCACTGTTGGGATATAGAAAGAGGCTTTAAATACCTGGATGTTTACTTTAAGTAGCGTCTAATGCTGCCTAGTAGTGTCTAATGCTGCCTAAGATCTTGCTGAAGACTTTGAGACCTCAGAAAGGCCAAGGGAGTGGGATGGGGGGAAGGATCTTTCTTCCCCATTTCTGTCCCTCCTCAAAGGGGGTTTAGCCCAACAGAGAGCTTTAGCTCTGAAGTTTAGCTTTAGCAGAGATGCTAAAAATCTCTCTCTGGGTTATCTCATGGTGGGAAGCAAGTTAAGCTTTCTGAATCAAGTGCTAAGATTTTGGGGGTGGGGAAAAGGTGAGTTTGCAGCTACTCTTTGCTTGTTGGGAGAAGTTTGGACTTATTKCAAGAATCAGGAAGACTCTGTAGGCATTGCAAATGAAGGGCTCCTTGCTGGTGCAAGGCCAGAGACTCAGGGTCGGCACCGCAGCGCTGCACTCTGTTCAGGCAACTGCCGCGTGCCCTTTGGGCAAGGAGCCTTGGGCTGCTGCGGAGSGGGGTCAGGCTGGAGGGGGGTCACACTGAATATCAGACCTGCCCCCCTCGCCGGCAGTTCTGGGGCACAGAGAGGCGCTGCCCTGCTCTGCCGCAGCTCCTCTGAACCGCGCTGGGGGTGACCTGCCAGTCCGGCCAGGGGGCTGACCTGCCGGCCCGGCTGGGGAGTGACCTGCTGGCCAGAGGGATCAGCCGGGGGAGGGTGGGGGGGTGACCTGCTGGCCCGGCCGCGGGCCGGAGCCGGAGGGGGTGACCTGCTGGCCCGCCGCGGGGTGGCACTGGGGACGGGCAGGGACAGGACAAGGGCCCGAAGGGGGTCGGTCTCTTACCGCGGGGCACGTCCACCTGGTGCCCCCGGCCCACGCTCTGCCAGTAGCTGAGCAGCCGCTCCTGCTCCTCGTCCTCCATGCGCTCGGCCTCCTCCTCGAGGCTGCTGCCGTTGCTGTGGTACGCGGAGTCGGGGCTCTCCTCGGCCATCCCGTCCAGGTCCTCGAGCGTGATCATCGCGGGCGCCGCGGCGGGCTCCGCGCCGCCCATGCGGCAGCCGCCCGTCTCCATGGCCGGCCCGAGCGGCGAGCGGGCGGCGCCGGTGCCGTGCGGAGCGAGCCGCGGAGCGGAGCGAGCCGCGGAGCGGTGC